TGCTCAAATCATGAAGATAAAGAAGCAACTCCTGCTTAGTTCAAATGTTGAAGCCAGGTATATTCTCTTTGTGTAATTACTTTAAACAGTGTAAGTGAAGAAACAAATGAATTTTTAAAGCAACTTTGAAATTTTTTTTTCTCATTTGAGTGAATCCTTTGATGATAAATTTTGATGCAAGAATTAACATCAATTAGGTGCCAAAACAATTCCATTTATAATATACATGATGTAGACAATTCTGAATCTTCAAAATCTTATCTTTTACAGTGAGGTATGAAAGAAGAAAATTCAGTGCTACGATCAACCAAAATCCAGGACTCTGGAGTCCTATATATACTGCCAAACTATCCGCCCCCTGTGTAGCAAATCCAAGTTGTTCCAAAGTTATCATGCTGGTCAACACTGATGTGCATTTTGTGATGGCTTAACTCAATTCAGGCTTACAATGTCCACATTTATGACATATCAATTTTGGATCATGTTCATTCCAGTGACTTTCATGCATGCCATGACAGATGTTGCCATGACAACAGAAAATGGCTGACATAATGGATTGTGATATTTGAGTGCTCTAATGTTTTTGTGAATGTCTTCAGAATGTTTTAGAAAGTTTTTATTGTGATAATGTGCTATTTGTTTTAACAGTTTTAACTGTAAATTTTTTATTTTATTGAGGGTTTATTCTGATATTAAGAGATCTGAAATAGTTTGTGGTGCAGTGTAACTTGTCTAAAATGTACCGGTAATATTGATCTATTTAATATCCACACGCACTCTGTACCAGTGCATTTCCTACCAAATAAAAACTGTTGGTAAACAAAGTATTCTGCCTTTTGCCAAATGGAATATGTTTGGGATTTCTAAAATACCTAGGTTAGACAAGTTTCACTGTATTTCAACATGTACTGATAAGGGAGATGTTTTTGATGAAGCATATCTGATTTGTGCAATTTATAACATAAGATCTTGTTTCTCATTTTATTTTACTCTTTTTTTTTTCTTCAGCAGGCCGGTATACTTATGTAAATCGTTTTTAAGGACCTTTTGTGATAGTGTATTGACTTTATATATGCTCAACTATAGTTATCCATAATGCAATATGTGCAAATTCATTCATTTATTCATAAAATTGTGTGTATATATGCAATGATGGTTTAGCTGTCTCCACTTTGTTAAATTAATGATGCAATTGTTATATATATAAATATATATATTTTATCTACAGCAATCAAGAAAAGAATGCTGTTTTGTCCTACAATTTGTCAAATCCCTTTATCCACTCTGTTTTAATTTTTGAAATAATCAGTATAGTAGTTCAACTCATTGAAGTAAAAAATAATGCATTTTTAGAGCGCAACCATTTTTTAAATCTGAAAACCAATTTGAAAAAAGGTACATTTTAATAAATAGGCTAATAAGGTCTGAGTTCAAAGCTTGTGCAACTGACTAAGAGTGTTCATTTTTGTATGCAATGGAAGATAAAGGTCTGAATTATTTCGGAATTTTTTATCCAAACTAATAATGGCATATTTGTGTAGTCATGTGATTTTTGTATGTGTTTTGATCGGTCAATCTTTGATCAGTCTGTCAGTTGGACATTCCTTATGTGATATGTGTAACATCCCTCTATTTATTATTCACTTGTTCCATATCATGTACCCTGAAATGAATTTTTGTTACAAAAATCTGAATATAATATGACTTAAAACAAGACAACTGACTCTGAGTTCTTTTTTTTTAAATTCATGCTTTCTTTTTGATTTTTGAATGTTCAGATTCAGTTGCAATGTAACTCTTAGTCATACAATGGTTTCAATGAAAATAAGCATTCTGAGAGTATTGCAATCCTACCAGCAAGTATAATCTAGTTTCCCTTAAAAATTAAAAAGCCCATAAATCCATCAGAACTCATCAAAATGGACCAATTGCAAATTTGATCTGTATTAAACCCATAAAGGTAGAGTTGCATGCAGAAAATCAGTTTAATATCTGCAAGACGATGAGAAAAAAATACAGAAAACCAAGTGGGACAGGCGGACACAGACAAAGGAAAAGCTAGACAGATTAGAGGAACAGACAGACAGGGGGGCAGACAGACGAGGAGGAAACCTACAGTCCCCTCAGGTGTCACCAGTAGGGGACATAAGCTTAAATAAGAAATGTTACCTAACCCAGACATAAATCCTCAGTTATTGATGTGAACAAAGAAAATTTTCATGATTATGAAGTATTTACCCTTAGTGAGTATCGATGAATTGTTACAGTGCTAACTGACTTTTAATTAATCAACTTTTGTCATGCAAGCACTTAAAAGTTTGAAAAAATAAATAGGTTACAAAAATCGTAATAAACCAGAGAAGAAAACATTAAAAACTGGACTATCCATTTCACTTTTGTTATACATAGCTAATTTGGACAGATGATACAAACATTTTTTTTCCAAAAAACCATGAAAACTAGTTATAATTGTAACGGGAACCGTTACAGATGTTCCCCAAACGCTCCCCAACACCCTTTTGGTGTCTTATTTCCTGTAAGCTTCATTAAATAAGCCAATGAAGTAAATTGATCGTTTTTTGCATTTCACGCGCGCACACGTGCATGCATGTGCAGGATGACCATGTCATCTCATCTATACTATTAATGCATCTTTATATTCTCAGTATCAAAACATTTCATCAAAAAATAAATAAGTTCCGGCTATATCAAGTATATTGGTCATCTTAGCATTGCATGAATGCGCACCTGCATGCATGTTCCTAATGACCATGCCATTTTGTCTACACTTATAATTTGTCTGTTTATTCTTAGTATCAAAGCTTTTCATAAAAAAATATAAAAGTTATGACTATATTAAGTATATTGTCATTTAACACACTGCACGCGCGCGCATGTGCATTCATGAGCACGATGTCCATATTGTCTACACTTTTAATATATCTGTATATTCTTAATATCAAAACTTTTCATAAAAAATATAAAAATTACGGCTATATTAAGTATATTGGTCATTTAACACATTGCACGCGCACACGTGCATGCATATGCATGCACGCATGCATGCATGTGCATGATGACCATGTCATCTTGTCTACACTTTTAATATATATAAATAATTTGAGTATCAAAGCATTTCATCAAAAAGTATAAAAGTTACGAATATATCAAGTATATTTGTCATTTTACGCTCTGCGCGTGCGCACACGTGCATGCATGTGCATGTTGACCATGTCATCTTGTTTACACTTTTAATATATCCTTATATTTTGAGTATCAAAGCATTTCATCAAAAAATATAAAAGTTACAGCTATATCAAGTATATTGGTCATTTGACGCATTGCACGCGCACACACGTGCATGCACGTGCGCGCAAAATGACCTTGATTCCGCAAATCTACATAACATGCCTATTAACCCTAAAAAGGTTTCACCTCAATCGGATGAGTAGTTGACGAGATCACTCGTGGACAAAAAAGTACCCAGGAAGAAGAAGAAGAAGAAGAAAAATAATAATAATAATAAGAAACAGAGTAAAAACAATATGTTCCCCAACTTCGTTTGGGGAACATAATAACAACTACAGTCATGTGTATAATGTCCTATAAGTTAGTGATGAAAAAAATTGTATCGATTTATAAGGGTGATTACAGAAGGTAGGATTTTGAACATTATAGAAAATTTACGATTTTTTCATATTTTAGAAATTTGATATTTGCATCATTTACAACCAAAATTGGTCCAAAAATTTTAAAATATACCAATCCAGGTATCCATCATACATGTACATGTATGTCTAACCAGAGTTAACTTGATTAACTCAAAGGAGTTTCTCTCAAAGATCAACAACCACTGCATTTAAATGCCTATTTTAAAAATACGTACTCATCAATACCGGAAGTGTATTAACTACAGGATCAAGTTAAAGCTGTTCTTGTGCTACTTTTACATTCTAACTTTTTGTAACTGAGTTATCGCTCTCGTCATAATTGCAAGGATACCAACATCATACTATGGTGTGTGAAAGTCGGAAACAAATTTATTTCGTTGAAGCAGGGACCTATATACTAAGTATATAGGTCCCTGGTTGAAGCTGATTTAGAGGAGGAAATATTTATACATGTATATGGCACAGTTCCTCAAATTCTGGTCGAAATGAGTTGCGTTGTTCTCTCCGCGACATACACCCTTTGCAAATAAAAATATTAATCTGGCATAAACGTGCTATGTGCTAAAAACAACCACTCACTATTTATGTATGCAAGATTGACAAGGATCAATATTCATACACAAAAAAGCAAATGTCTTTGTATAGTCGGAAGCTAGAACCAACACCCAGTGAAGACCTTACTGACTATTGGTGCCAAATTATTTGTACACCTAAAAAATCTGCTTTTATTTAAAAGTGCGTGAATGATGCATCTAAATGTACCAGCACCATTACCAGTGTAAGTGACGGTTTGCTTTCGGTATACCCCCTTGTTGTTGGCCCCCACAAAGAGTATGTAATTTACATGTCCGAGGGAGATCTGATGGCCCAACACAAATGTTTTATTTTGGCCAAACAAACCATCATAAGAAAACTGTTTTAAGATGCCATGCATTAGTCCTGAAGAGCTTTACTTTATGACCTATACAATGTTTCTTCCTTAATTTCTTTCAAAATTTCATGCTTTCTTTCATGTTTTTCAAAATAATGACAATCAAGACATCAAGTTTAATGCTGTGTTTTATTACAAAAACGAGAAATATAAATAATAAAAATTCATTTTGCAAATAATTCATGAAAAGTAACATTCAGTACAAAAAAAGACACAAAAACAGATTCTTTTATAAAATGCAAGGATTGAGTTGTTCTCAGTCTATTCTACAAAAGATGACATGATTGCAATATCGCTCGTAAAGATATCGATTGTGCATAATTATAACTTATAAGTTAATAATAAACACAATAAAAAAGTAAAAACTTTTATATAAAAAAATAATATATGATGTAACATAAAAATTAAATATTGATTGTAGCATAAAATGAAAGACTAGAACAGGCACTTAGTACTTTGAAAATACTGGTTCGTTACTAGTATATACCAAAGTACAGGAACGCGAATATTAACCATACACACGTAAACTTTGACATGCTGAGTTACAATAAAATGGCGGACAGTTTCCCCTTCGACAGTTACTTATGCACCAGTTATCAGCGGCCTGTTGGTTGATCCTTCTGAATGCTGGTGCAGCGGTACAAGTCGTCGAACTGCCACCGACAACCGCCAGAGGGAGCTGGGGACGCACCGCCACGTTGTTTGGAACGTACGGCTGATAACTTCCGCTCTGTTGGGACCCAGTCTCGGAGTGGCCGATAGCGATGTCTGCACAGCCGTAAAATTGTTCCTGCTGGCCGCATCCTTTACATGTCTGTCCGTATGAGGAAACTCCATAACTGTTACCTAAAAGGAAAGGAAAAAATAAACATTTATGTCTTCTATATGGGATTACCTTTAGTTAGCAATTGTAAAGAAATAAATGCGATTCTATTTTGGAAGCTTATAAAATTATCAACTAAATCCATGTACATGTAAATCATACCAGCGTTATATTTCCATTGTAGAACACATTGTGAACACGTGAGTCCTCTTGGAAGTTTGAGCTTTATTGAGTAGATCTGGGGACGTCCCTGTTCCATGAATCGAACACTCCCAGAAGGTTGATGAAGGACATACTGATCTAAACAAGCCTGTGTTGCAGGCTTATGAACATTGTTGTTCGGGCATAAGCGGAATTCGAAATATCCTAAATGAGAGGCGGTGATTTTCACTTTAACCTGAAATTAAGAAGGACCCAAAATACGTTAGTCTTTTGCATGCAGATAAGTTTTTATATGAATATAACAAGAAAAGATTTAAAAAGCTTTTATCAATGCTATCGGAAATATCTCTTTCAGTGCAGGATCATTTTGCTACATATTCTCTTTTAAATTTCAGAGTGAAAGTGTATGTTACTTACGTCAATGATTTGTCCCTCAGTGTATCTTTTGCTTATTATTCCAGTTGCATAGCGACCTCCAGCCTCGTTTTCACGTACACCATCCCAGGGATCACCACAGATTCCACATTTCCCGCCATTTTTATTCCATTGCCTCTGCAATCAGATTAACGGAAGGTGATTAATTATCACCGTTGTTTATCATAGTGGGTTTTTTTTAACATGCATAAGGTCCTAATATATTTTTCTTTTCAAATAGAAAACAATCACGTATAGTTGTTTCTGAATTAACTTCTTACATCAAATCCTCCGCAGAACAGTTGGTTGTCGTCGTAGTTGTGGGGCGTGTTAAACCCGAACCTCCACATACTGGATCGTGAGGGGGGATCCTGGAGATAGCCGTGCCCTAGAGCACCGGGGATCAGCGTCAGCATCAGAAGTTCAATCATTTTCAGATTATTTTCAATATTCCCCAAACCCTGACGGTACAAACCCTGCAAGAGTTACCAACGAATAAGAAAGTCTGAAGACTAGCAATGGTTTGTAAAATATAATATCAATGTTAATTTTGTATTTGTAAATAAATCAATTTGAACTTAGCTTGGTTTTTCAGTTGCAAAAGCACAATTTAATACATCAGAATATGAGACAGTACACTTACTTTCAGTAAGAATTAATGTATATCGGCTGTTTGTTGTTGTTTTTCTGGAGTAGCCACACTGTTCGTATATATAGTGAATTTTTATCTCTTCGTTTGTGTACATATTGGAATCTCTACTACGCAATCAGACCATTGATATCCGATTTAATCCACAAAAGACTTCCAGTACAAACGCTGACATCATTCTGAACCTATTCTCTGTTTGTTTGGGTCTAGTCATTCATTGTTTTTGTTAAAATTTCGATTCAAAAATTTGCTTGATTTCTGTTAAGACGTCAAAGTTTGAGTTTTGAAATCATGGGATTCTTTGAGGACACGTCGGATAACGGGTTTATGCAAACAGTAGTATAAATATTTCGAGGTTCTAAGAATAGTTCTGTTTATATGTACATGCGTACATAAATATACTCATATCGATAAGTAGAAAATTTGATAGTCTAAATAATAGAGCATTTGCGTGCATATACATGTATTCAGATTAGGGTTTTGATCGAATTGCGTGTAACCATAACATGGCAACCATTTATCGTTCTCTGAATTGCATCTTTCAAAGGTTTAAACCACAATGTAACGATTAACCAGAGTCAATGTTCTCATTGACAGAACATGTTGTTTTGCAATATGATTGATTTCTTTATTTATTATAAAGATCTCTTTGTGTCAATCCACTTTTTATAATATGTAAAATAAATTTTGCTGACACTGAAAAGTGGGACATAAATGGGTACATGTCTTTGCATGTTTTATACACGTATTTGGGATTGTCTTCGTCTAGAAAATGTTTATAGGATTTTTCTTCCTCTTCCCCAAGAATTCAGAAAGGTACCTGCATAAAATGCCCATGAGATCCAAGAAGTATATTCAGCTAAATCTTTTTCGGGTATTATTTCCTCCCCATTTTTTCATGTTCGTAGAACCGACTAGGATTTCCTTTGCGGATTGGGTGCATCCAATTGTTTATGGGGAACTCCCCAACCATTTACCCGAGATGGATTTTTTGGAGGATAGACCAACAAATCCTAGCTTCCTATGAGACTGTACCCTAGTGATATGACTCGAAGACAAATCTTCCCAGACCTAACCGCAAAAAGATGACACATTCCCTGTCAAATATTTACAAGATGGAAAAAGACAATTGGATGTTAGTGTTGTATCTGGGTCAGCAAGTGCTTTATGAAGACATCTTTTATCAATAAATAAAAAAATAATGATAAAAAGATCCATAGAAACATAACCAAAGCTGAAATTATGTATACATGACAGATTTTTCAAAAATGCGCACGTAAATTAGTATCTGGCCTACTGATAAAACGATCCATCAATGACGTCCGGGGGTTTTCGAAGGACAATGGAGGAATTTTGCATTCTCTTTAATAAAAACAAACAAAGATGACTGGTTTTATGAATGAAGTCAGGATTTACTTATCTGAGAGATTTAATTATTTCAGATTAAGGACCAAACGTCTACGCAGACGCACTATGAAAAATGAGACATATGTAAATAGAGATTCTGATCAGATTTGGGTATAAATAAGACTTCTGCGTGTAGGTTGGATACAGACAACAAATACCTGCAACAAGAAAAGGTACTGTTAGAATCTATTCCAAAAAGTATGCTTTTAATTTTTGAAACCTGATTTATGCATCTGTTTTATTGAATTTTCTTGAAAAATATCAACTAAAATGCTTGTAACACCGATTTTAAATTTATTAATGTGTAATTAAAAAAGAGTTTCTTCACGTTTTATAGACTGCATGCTTTTGTTTTATTTTTTATTTTCGCAAAAGCATCTATGATTTCCTCTTTAATTTAAATAAACTCCTTATATGGTATATAGTTATCAGTATTGTCATTTGACTATTTCTAGTGTTAAGATGTTCATTGGTCTCCTACTCACACTCCTCGCACCTGCCGTCCTGGGGCACGGTTACCTCCAGGAACCCCCCTCCCGCTCCAGTATGTGGAGGTTTGGCTTCAATACACCCCACAATTACAACGACAATCAACTTTTTTGTGGAGGAAAAAATGTAAGAAATCATCAAGAGTATAAATTGTCCAATTAAGTTAATTTAATCTACAAGTCATATTATCGAAATCATTCATATTAAAAGTCATATTAAAAGTCGTATTGCTTTTTTTTTTTCTAGAGACAGTGGGGCAAAAATGGCGGAAAATGTGGAATTTGTGGCGATCCTTGGGATGGTGTTCGTGAAAACGAGGCTGGTGGTCGCTATGCAAAAGGAATCATAAGTCGAAGATACAAAGAGGGAGAGATCATTGAGGTAAATGAAATATTACGTACACTTATATAGATACAATCACTAAAGAAGTAAAAGCAACATGTACTGCAGTTAATGACAAAGGGCTACAATTAATTATAGAAAGATAATTTTTGGAGTTTATGTTATATTTCAGGCACAAGTGAAAATCACTGCATCCCATTTAGGATACTTCGAATTTCGTTTATGTCCGAACAATGATATTCACAAGCCCGCTACACAGGCTTGCCTAGATCAATACGTCCTTCACCAGCCTAATGGGAGTGTTCGATTTATGGAACAGGGACGCACCCAGGTCTACTCAATAAAGCTCAAACTCCCAAGAGGCTTGACTTGCTCACAGTGTGTTCTGCAATGGAAATATAACGCTGGTATGAATCATTTGCTCAAGCTTCAAATACGAAATCTTTAATTAATTAATTAATTAATTTATTTATTTATTTATTTATTTTGCAATTGCAGTGGACGTTCAAGGATTTCTTTTTTTAAGGTATACAATTAATCTTTTGAATGTTTTCATTTTATAGGTAACAGTTATGGAAGGTCCCCATATGGAGGGATGTGTAAGGGGTGTGGCCCTCAGGAACAGTTTTATGGGTGCGCTGATATTGCCATCGATAAAGTCCCGTATGGATCCCAGCAGAAAGAAATTCCCCGCCCGTTTATACAGGTAACACAGCACGTTGAAGCACGTCCTCAACTAATCACCAATGGATCCCAGCAGAAAGAAATCCCTCGCCCTTATGTACAGCAGCACGTTGAAGCGCGTCCTCAACTGATCCCAACATTTATCAACGGCATTGCAGTAACGTGTCGTGCAACCCCAGACTTCAGAATCATAAATAACTACGCTGATAATTGGTGCAAGTCTAACTGCCGACGTGGATATTGTCCATCTTTGTATTGCACAGCGGCCTGCCAAAAATTAAAGGTTCAGGGTTAGTGCCATGCATATTCCTCTTTTTGAATGCATTTGTGTGTTTCAAAAACACTGCCATGCTTTTGATAGACATCAAGAACTTGAGAATTTCATCTTTGTGTTTCAGCTGCATCTAATGCTTGCAATTGGCCTTCTTTTGAACTTTCCCTGCATTATATATTAATTTATATTTTGTTGACATGAGAGCTTTTATCTGTTATTTTTATTTGTTATTTATATATTTTACACTTTTTAAATTTTTATAATAAAATATTAAAGGAAATCACATGTTAGTTTTTTTAATAGTTTACTTGGAAGAATAATAATGAAAGATGCACGATACAATTGAAAATGAAGCAACAATATCAATATCTTTTTAAAGAAATTAGTTCATATACCTTGGCAATGTGATATAATCCAGACTGAGTTTGGTTATGTAGTATGTGTGATTTAAACAATATTTATTCAAAATAATGAATAGACTGGGCAACAGGCAATGCCTATAAATACCCTCTCTATACAAGAATCAAAGTTACAAAATACAATGGACTGAGTGAATATATACTAGAAGAAATCCCGCGCAAGCGCGGGGAATTGAATTTATGCCACTAACGACAGAAAATATATAATTGTAGTTTCTACTGACAGCCTACAGGCTTATAACAGGAAGAAATACTTTGTTCAAAATCCCGCATGAAGTAGATGAATGCCTCCACCCCCCCCCCCCCCACCCCTTTCTGTAAAAACTTGAAAAATAACAATTTCGTTAATTGGCGTTTATTGTGAAACCTGTTATACTATGTTATGGATATTGTACTTCAGATGCTCTTATTTCATTTCCGTCAAGGATAAAAGCAGCGAATATGCACATTTTACTGATAAACTGCATGATTTTTTTTTTTGGGGGGGGGGGGGGGGATTCACAAATACTTGGGTCTTGGTTTATGAATATGTATGTACCTTATTTATACGTAAAAAATGTAGTTTACTTTTTTTTTTAACATATCAATAGGGTACGGGGTCTGTGTAAAAATTAGTTTTTAACGCCCTATGAATAGACCGAGTATTTGATACAAAAGACTGTATTCAGAAGGAAAAAAAACCTGAAATGTATTGATTAAAGCACAACATTTTACACAGCTTTAATTGTATTTGAACAATACCTTATTCATTAATTTTCTCTTTTCATGTTAGCAAGTTTATTACGAAGTACAAATTGTACTTCGGGTTCGTTGCCACGATGCTCTCAGTAAGGAATACATGTATATATAATTTTACCGATAAATTCATAAGAAAAACCTACTACATACATGAAATAGTCTTTCGATATATAAATATATTCAAAACTTATAGTGTTATCAATGATTTACCATTATTTCAATGACCATTCATACAAAAGTTTGTTTTTTTTTTAAATGATCGCCTCGTTTTTCTTTTTTAACATCGGGCTCGATGCTATTTGATGTTCTAGAAGCTTCCGTCAATATTAAGATCGGCGAAAGACGAAAATAATTTGCATATTTCCCTCTTTAATCGGTTATCACAACTTATTTCTTTTATATCATTTAAATCAAATTTTGATTGAATAATTCAGGGATGACGTTTAATTAAATAAATAAATGATTGCTTTTTGTCAGTTTCATTAAAAATTGCCAGTATCTTAGATCCGCCAACCGGAAACGCCACCGTACTCACGATTTTGCTATTTCATGGCTGTTTATAGAAAATGAAAGTAGACTTTTAATTTAATGTACGACACTTACTATGCGAGTGAAATCTAAATATAGTTTACGGACGTCATCTTGTATACAGTGTATTTTTAGAGGAGTAAGTAAGAACTCTGGTGCACCCGTTTCGGAGTTTAAATGCAAAATTTATTAATTTATAAGTATAGATATTACAATGCGGGTAAACACACACAGGCACACACACAGACACACCCTCGCAAGCACACACAGGCACGCACAGATCCAGATGAATTAAGCATAACACATAGTATTAATAAAATGTAGTAAAAAATATATATATCAAAAGGAAATGTATTTAAAAACGTTTTGTTGACCTAATATATTCTTGTACATAATTTGTAATGTTGATGTTCGTTTGATACGATAACTTCGAACACCCATGTAAAAGAATCTTTAGTTCATACGGTATACCTAGCTCTTGTAATTTTTTTCTTAGTTCATTTCTTTGTATGCTATAAGCTATACAATTCATGAAATAGTGCTCATTATCCTCATTATGGTAATCACACCTGGGACAAGATGAATCAGCTATTATATAATGATTTTTTTAAGTGTGCATTAAGGTTACTAGCTTTATTGCGTAATTGACAGTGAAGTATATTCTCTTTTCTGTTACCCTAGTTATAATATTTACAACTGCTAAATGGTCGTTTAGATTTTATTTTTGACTTAAACATTGATAAAGAAGGTGACATTTTTACATCAGAGCTAAGATTATTCCACAGTTTTATAGTTGAAGGAATAAAACTATTATAGTAAGATCCCAACCAAGTTCGTCGTATAGAATAGATCTTGAAGAATTTACCCTTAGACCAGTAATAATTCTTGCAGCTTCTATTTGGACCTTTTCTAACAATTCTGTATTTTCCTGAGAGCAGTTATCCCATACAACATCTGCGTATTCTAAGACAGGTCTAATGAAAGCAAAATATATCTTTATTAGGGAATTTCTATCAAGTGTGTGCTTTAATAATCTCAAAATATTTAATTGGTTACAAGCTTTTTCGTAAATAGCAGATATATGGTTATTCCAACTACCATCGGACTGAAGGTGAAGCCCGAAATGTATATGACTACTGGATGGCTCAATAATGCCCCCATTTTCTCCAAAATGAATGTCTGGAAAAAGTCGCTGCTTTCTTGTAAAATTAACATTAATTGTTTTATCAGCGTTAAAATCTACAGCCCAAGAGTTTGACCATTTCTTTATTTTTTCAAGATCGGCTGTAAGAGATAATGTAGGAGTCATAATATCAGCGTCTACTATAGCAAACAAAGATGTATCATCCGCAAATAAACGGATACCATTATGTATGTCTTCAGTTATATCATTAATGTATAATAAGAATAAAAATGGGCCTAGCACAGATCCCTGGGGTACTCTTGCATCAACAGTTTTTAATGTTGATGAGAAACCTTCAATATTTACTTTTTGTTGCCTGTCAGTAAGGTAATCTTTAATCCAGCCCAAAATATTATTTTGGAAGCCTATTTTTTCAAGTTTAAAGATAAGTCCTTTTTGCCAAACCCTATCAAAGGCCTTTGAAATATCACAGAATATAAATCTTAGGTCCCGGCCTTTATCGAGATTTAACAATTTTTTCATATATGTAGTATGTGTGTTTAATGTTCTCGGAAATTAAAGCTTTGAGGAAGAAAAGAAGAAAAAAACATCACCAAGGACGAATTGCCTTTTAAAATAAACGTACATACGTACAAACACTAACGATCATAGCCACATACATGTACATATAATAAGAAAAACAAATGATAAACTATTGAGAAAGATTCATCATAATTTCTTTAACTATCAGTTAGGTTAGGGCTTTATCAAGTTTGTCATGGTAATTTTCTGTATCAGAATTACAGATGTTTTCAAAATGCAGAGGACGAAGTAAGAAAAGGTATAATTCACATTCTTCAATCAGAAATAAGTTCATAATTTATAATCTTGTCACTGATAAGATAATATAACATCTACTTCAGAATGTTACATTCTCTTCGACCGATCATTCTCCACGCATGTTTAATATTTTTGGACACTTTTATCTCTCAGTTCTTAAATAAATGACCTCGAAAACGATGTTCATAAACTCTGTATCATATGTAAATACACTAACAAGTTATTTGGTCCCAGAGAGGAGGTCAATGGTCATAATAAGAAATCTGTATTTGAATACCACAGGAAGCTACAAATCTTGAAAATAGCCTTCTCAAATAAACTGAAATGCTGCAAAAGTATGTTAAAAAAAATTGTAAAACAATTTGTAAAGGTTTTAAGAAACCAAAGCACATATTTATTTATTTATTTCTCTTTGCTCTCACTGGGCTACCCTCTCCGATATTTTTTTGTCTAATAAGATACAAACCTGTTTAAACTAAATAAAGATGAATAAAGTTTAAACCATTTGTATGCTCCGCCATATATCTGACTCTGTCATACGTGGTGTTTGTCAGATCAGCACCTCTGTCCTTATGTCTGTCTGTCCGTTCTAAAAAAAAGGCAAGATGTGTTTGTGAAACTCTGATGCCCCTTATGACATCCCGTGGCGTGGGTTAAAGTTTCTCTAATGCAAATCAAACTCCAAGGTCGAGAGAAGTCCTGTTCAAAAGTACGACCAAAGTTAAAGTTTTCCAAAAGAAGGTCAAAGTCCAAGGTCAAGGTCAAAAGGTCAAAAATTGTTGTACCCAAAGGAAAGCTTTATCACAAGAAATACACATTTGAATTATAAAAGCCCTATCAACAACCCTTTAAAGGTTATGGCCAAGGTTAAAATTTGGTAAAATTTTGCAAAAGTGGGTCAAACTCCAAGATAAAGGTCAAATATGTTGGAACCCAAAAAAAAGTTTTGTCTCAGGGAATACGCATGTGAAATATGAAAGCCATAGCTCCAGACAATCAAAAGTTATGGACAATGTTAAAGTTTTTGCAGGCAAACAGTCAAACAGACAGGGCAAAAACCATATGCCCCCGGGGGCATAAAAAACAACTTCAAACTGAGTTTCAAATAAACTTTTCAAGATACTAGTACTTTCCATAAACTTCATGCACTAATAACTGTCATTGATATAAAGAACTGCGAACGATAGTATTGTACCTTCAAGTCAATTTTCAAAAGTTAACACATTTGAATGATTTTTCATATCTATATAGATTTTCATACGAATTAAAAACATTACTTCTTTGGGAAAACAAAAGGGAAATAACTCTATAATTTTGGTAAAACTTGTGTTTTTCACTATAGAAATCAACGGAAAACGGAAAATATTTTTAAAACATCTTCCCCTTTTTAAAAATTCCTTTTTACAGGTAATATGGATTATCATTTTAAAAATTCATACCAAAGTTTTTTGTGTTTCACGGGGGGGGGGGGGGGGCATATGTTTATAGACAAAAAACTACAAAAATGCATATTTTTCACCAATTTCAAAGGGATTTACAACTAAAACATTG